TGTGTGCAGGTCTCAGGCAGGGGACAGGTGTGTGCAGGTCTCAGGCACTGAGGACAGGTGTGTGCAGGTCTCAGGCAGGGGTCAGGTGTGTGCAGGTCCGAGGCAGGGGACAGGTGTGTGCAGGTCTCAGGCAGGGGTCAGGTGTGTGCAGGTCTTTGATAGCAGAGATGGGTGTGTACACACCAGAGTCAAGATTGAGCTTGTCCGAGGAAGGGCCTGAGAACGCCCTGGACAGCTGGGGAAGGGATTCTGGTGAGTGTAGCGTTCTTTTGGCCACATCCACAGTAGAGAGCCAGCCTCTGCTGGGACCAGAGGGAGCTGAGGTGTGGAAGAGCTCCTGGGAGCTCACCTGGCTTCTCAGCCACGTCCACACTGCAGAAAGTCTGCCTTCGTGCACTGCCCTCCCCTCCAGGCCCACCTCACCCTTGGCCAGTGCAACTCAGCCACCCCCGAGCACCTGAACCTGCTCCCGCAGCCCATGATGGGAGCGCGTAGGCCGCACCTGCCCTTGCCACCCTGGTCCCTCCTCCATGGGGCTCTCTCCTTCCTACTGGTGGCACCCCTCCCTGGTGCTCTCTGCCTCCCCGCTCCCTCTCAGGCCCAGCCACCTGGTGTCCTCATCTCTCGGGGGTCCAGCCCTGCCCCAGGCTCTCCCTTTGTGGCCTCAGCACTCAGACTCCCGCTGGCCTCGGAGGCCTCTGGGATGGGAACAACTGCCCCAGGGGCTGTGACTGTCCCGTGCTGTCCGCTCCTCGGGACAGGGCTCTGCCCCTCCCACTCAGGTGTTGGCACCAAAGCCTGGCGTCATCCTCACCCTCAGGCCCCGCGTGCCACCCACCCTCTCCTCTCCCTGCCTTCTGGGTGCTCCCCAGCCCCAACCAAGCCCTGTCCCACCTCCGCACTCTCCTCTTCTCCATGTGGAAGCTTCCGCCAGCCCTGTCTCTGGCCACGGGCCCACTGCAGCCGTCCCGAACAGGCCCTGCAGGTGACCGGTGCTGTGGGCCCTTACTGGGCCTGGTCTCTGGGCCCAGCCACACAGGGCCTCCCCTCTTCTGGCCTCAGAGCACTGCACCCCACTTCCAGGCTTGGCTAGGCCAAGAATGGCCTTCCACAGACCCCATGCGCCCACCTGCCTACCGTCAGGCCACCTGACTGCCCACGAGGCTGCTACAGACCCAGGTCCTGCCCATGCCATCTTTGGCGGTCATAGCCATGCCCTGCTGCATGCAGGCTCACTGGTGGCCACAGCCCCCTCTCTTCCTGAATGCATGGGCATCTTCAATGCATGGCACCCTCAGAAACTGGCACACCTGCTCGCTGGCAGACAGCCCTAGCTCGTCAGCCACCCTCCCCTCTGTCCCTGCATCTGTACCTGGGAGGGACCTGCACAGGTCCAAATGAGCACACAGGGCATCTTGTTTGGCCGGAAAGTGATGCCTGGGACAGGACCGCTGCCTTCTCCCCGCCGCTGCTCCCGTCCTCACCTCGCTCTCTGACCAGCGCCCCTCTGTCCTTACACACACTGCCCTGTTTCTGCCCTGGATCATGTGGCTGCCCAGCCCCCTGGCAGCAGGCCCCGGACGGGCTAGCTGGGCTCCAGGAGCCTCTGAGTGCTCTGGGCATTGGTGTCCAGGTGCGATTGCCCCAAAGACTTTTGGCCCCAGGATGGGGCCAGCAGGAGCCCAGGAGGCTCCAGGGACGAAGCTTCCTGCTGCCCAGGGGAAAGGGGAGGCAAATCCCCCTAAAGACGAGCCAGGTGGGGCAGCGCCTCAGTAACGCTGATTCTGCTGTCGGCTCATCATTGAAATAGAATTAAATGCAACTCGATGCGCTCATGAGCTGCCACAGGTGCTGACTGTGGCCTCCAGAGAAGCCTGTGGAGTAGGGGAACATGGGACGGCAGGGAGGGCGGGCATCCCACCAGAGGAGCCGCAGCTGGGGAGCGCGAGGGAAGACGTGGGCCCCACCCTTCTGCTGCCAGAGCGGCCCTGCCTCTCCCTCGCCCGATGCCTCTGTCTCCCTCTTCCTTCTCTCTGCCTGCCCTGTCTCCCTGCCTGCACACGCCTGTAGTGGGACCCACGCACCTCTGAGTCTCTCTCCTTCAGGAGCTGGATGAGCCTTGTGCAGAGGCCCAGTGCCTGTTCCTCCTGGCACAGCTGGCCAACGAGGAGAAGAACTATGGACAAGCCAAGAGAATGATTGCACAGGCCCAGCACCTGGGCGGAAACGAGGAGTTCTGGTACAATTCCACGCTGACCCTGGCAGAGACGCTCTTGTCCACGGAACACTCAGGACAAGAAGCTACGGTGAGAGGCCCGGGGACCTGGGACCGCATGTCAGGCACTGGGCAAGGTACTCGGTGGAGGGGAGGGGCGTCCACGGAGCTCTGCCTGGCAGACTGCTGACAACACACCCGTATCCACCCACCCGTCCTCAGGTGTGCCACATATTTCAGAAGCTCATCAGTGCCCTCAAGATTCTCAAGAAGGAAAGACCAAACCGAATGCCGTTGTTAGAATTCATGATCACAGACCTAGAAGCCAGGTAACGTTTTGTGAGAAACACTTCGTTCATGTGAACGCCTGTGTGAGTTCAGAGACCCACGTAACGGGGCCACATACAGAGACCCACGTAACGGGCCCACATACTCTCAGAGACCCACGTAATGGGGCCCACATACTCACAGAGACCCACGTAACGGGGCCACATACAGAGACCCACGTAACGGGGCCACATACAGAGACCCATGTAATGGGCCCACATACTCACAGAGACCCACGTAATGGGGCCCACATACAGAGACCCACGTAACGGGGCCACATACAGAGACCCACGTAACGGGCCCACATACTCACAGAGACCCAAGTAATGGGCTCACATACTCATAGCTTTCTGTGCAGCTCCAGAATGCTCCAGAAGTTTCCTGAGCTGTTTCAGGCTTTCTCTGAGAAACGGACCGTCTGTCCCATCTGTTTGGCTTAGAAAGGTGGATTCAGGGCCTTGGGAAGGGGCTAAGAAACTTTTTCCTCCAAGTGTGTGTCTCTAAATTTGTAGAGCATGTGTTCTCTTTCACAAAGCTCTTGTCACAGGCACGCCTCCCTTGGTGCCGTTTATCAAAGCCATCTCTTCTTTTCTTTTTGTGTTTTTAAGACAGAATCTCCCTCTGTCACCAGGCTGCATTGCAGTGGCACGATCTCAGCACACTGTGACCTCCAACTCCCTGGCTCAAGTGATTCTCCTGCCTCAGCCTCCCGAGTAGCTGAGATTACAGGCACCTGCCACCACACTTGGCTAATTTTTGTATTTTTAGTAGAGACAGGGTTTCGCCATGTTGACCTGGATGGCAACATCGTCTCTTCCAAATTGGGACATTTTCAAGGAGCTGGCGTTGGTTTACAGACCCAGCAACAGGGGTTTTTGTGTGACTCAGGCTTCCTTGTTTCTGCTTCATCTTTGTGGAGCTTTTTCTGCAGTGGCGAGAAGGCCGCCCAGGGCTCTGCTGTGGCTGCTCGGGGCGGGGTGGGGAGGCCGAGGCCTCGTGGCTGTGCTCTCCGCCCCCCTCCCAACCTTGCCCTTTGCCCTGCAGCTGCCACGTGTGAACAGCCCACCGGGTCAGCATGGGTTTTTGTTCCACTGGTGACTCACGTACGAGAGGGCCTTCAGATTTCCACGTGGATACTGTGCCTGGGGTGGGGCTTGTTAGTTTCTGACTTTATTGCCCATGATCACAGAGTGAGGCCCGTACGGTGTCTGATTTTGGAGTAACGCCCCGAAAGCATTTCTTCTAGTATCCCTGGATGAACACCAGGAGAACAGCGGCAGTACAGCCGCGAGCCCCGTCACGGCCCTGGGGCTTCTGACGCAGGCCTCAAACCGACCCCCCTTCAGGTGCCTGAGCCTGCGGGTCAGAGTTGCACAGGAGTCTGCGGTCAGGGAACCCACGGAGTGCTCACTGCTGCTGAAAGAGATGGACGACAGCTTGTTGGATATTGAGAGAAGGTTTATCGACTGTGGCTACAAAGAGAATTGTGTTGATGTCAAACTAGAGCGTGCGAAGATCAAGAGGTCAGGCCGCCTCTGCGCCCCGGCATGGAACCACCGCTTCTCCCACGCACAACATGCCCTGCGCCATCCTGCCTTCGGGGCCTGCTCACCCCAGCTGCACCCCCTCAGGGTCCACAGGCCCCTCCCCTGGCAAGCTACCGGCTGCCACCTCACCCCCACATTCTGATCACATGCCCAGCCCTCCCTCTGAGGAGCCCCCATTGCTCCTGACAGGGCCTCTTCCTGGCCCCAGCCCTGCGGCTGCCCACACCTCCCTTGGGGACACCCTCATTGGGCCCTGCTCCAGCCCTCAGCAGACACACACAGACATACAGCACAGCCCACCCCCACCAGCCACAGGCACACGCTCATTGCACACACATGCCCAGGCCCAGGTCACACGTGCGCAGCCCAGGCACAACCCTGATGCCAGCCACCCCTGTCCTGGTAAAGCTTCCCTCGCCCTGCCCACTGCCTTGCCCCCAACCTGGGGCTCCCCCATGCTTGTCCACACATAAGCATCTAGACACAGTGGGCCCAATGTGGGCATTCAGAAGCCTGTGCCAGGAAAGCGCAACCCCACCCACAAGGTCTGACCTGAGCCACGTCTGTTATTGTGGGTGTGGGACACGTCCTTCCAGAACTTCAGTTAGCCAATCAAACGCAGCCAGCCGATTCAAGCTGATCCTGTGGAATTGCTTCAGCACTTCTCCTTCAAGTGCAGATTTAATTTTCACGACCACAATACCCTGTACATACTGCATTATTTCAGTGTCTTAAACCTTTAAGACATATTGAGAATGTCTTTACATGTAAGCTATTTTAAGACATCATTTTAAGTACTAGTAAAATAGACAGTGTAATTATAGAAAATGACATGTTAAACATTTAGTAATAATAGCATCATGTTTTGACACTTTTGTTCCAAATTCCATTCTTATGTCCTATCAAGGTTACGTGCCCAGAACGAGAAAGATGAAGAACAAAAAACTGCGTATTACTTGGAAGCGTATGGCCTGGCGCAGAGCGCCGTGGCTGAGGAAGAAGAGAGGTTCCAGAGCATCCAGGCCTTGCTGTCACTTCACGACGTAAGCAGGTGCCCCTGTCCTTGTGCGCATTTGGTCACTCCCACTGGCACAGACTCCCCACTGTAACTTACCTTACAAGCCAGCTGACTTCCGCTTCTAGCTGAAATAGAGTAACAGGGACCAGATACTCCCCACTGTCTGAAATAGCAAAAAAACAAACAGGGTATGAAACGAAGACTTTCAGAACGCTAGACGCCGGCGATGACAGGCAGTGGTCCCTGAGGTGAGGTCTGAGCTCATCGCGGCTGCTCAGGTGGAGTCCGCTGGTGACCTGAGTCACAGGATGGAGCCGAGAACCCAGGGAGAGCCAGGCACTGCCACTCATGGGACAGAGCCCTGGGGAGGGGTGGCCACACCGAGAGAAAACCCCAAGACTTTTGCAGGAGGCCCCAGAGTGTCCTGCTGAGGACTGATCAGTACATTCTTAAGTGGAAGCTACCCCCTGCTGGGAAAGAACCACCCAAAAGGGTTCTAGGAAGCGGGATGGGAACAGCACCAGCTCCACCAGCCAGATTGGAAAACCTCATGATCCCTGGGGCATCTGGCAGAGTAGACACAGGGCCTTGCCTCAGTCAAGGGTACGCAGGCCTGGGGGAGCCCTGCTCTAGACCTGCCGAGAGACCCTAAGAAGAAGACCTGAAAGGACCTATTTCCTTTGAGAGCATAACTGTCTCAGATCGGAGCCCAGGCCTGAAGAGGAATGCAGAAATGCTCACCAGACCCCAAAGGAAAACAAAGCCCAAATGTCGGGCAACCAATAAAAAACCGCTATATAGAAAAGCAGGAAAACATGACTCATAACGGAGGGAATAATTCCGTCCGTTTTCCAATCAAAAGGAAACTGATCAATGGGCACAGATGTTATAATTGGAAGACAAGTTGTTATAACTCTTCTATATGTTCAGAAAGTTAAGTAGAAATGTTGAAGATATAAAAGGAAGACAAAAACCAAACTTCCAGGGTGAAAACTGCAACACGGGAGGTGAAGAAGGCACCAGGTGGGGTGGATGACAGCAGTGGCAGAAGAAACGGTCGGAGAACTTAGAGACATAGCAACAGACAATTTTTTAAATGAAGAGATAATGAAATTTAAAAGAACAGAAATTAAAGTTAACAGACAATAAGCCAAGGAACAGTTTTAAATTCACAAATCCAGGTGTAACTGGAATCCTGGGAGGAGTAGAATACACAGAATCATTTGAAAAATGACTGAAAACTTTCCAGATTTGGTAAAAATAAATACAGACTCACAGATCCAAGAAGCTGAATGAATCCCAAACACAAGAACTATAAAGAGGAATAAAACTATATAAAAACACACTGTAACCAAACGGTTTAACCCCAGTGATAGGAAGAGCACCTGAGCATCAGCCAGAGAGCACTGCGTGTTTATGTGCAGAGCAACAGAGGCGGGTGGCGCAGCTTCCCACGGAAGCACTGTAGCTGAGAGCCCAACCCAGGGACCGCTGTGAGGCCGAGATGAAACACTCCCAACTGGGAATTCTATACCCAGAAAATATGATTGTTAGTGAAGGTGAGATGAAGATGTTTGTCTAAACACTCAAAAGCTGAAGGACCGTGTCCTCAGTGGCTTTGCCCTGCAGGAGCTCCTGGAGTCCGTCCTGCTGGCAGAAGGAAGCCATGCCCACTGGAAGTGTGGGTCCACACAGGTGCCTGGAGAGCCTCAAACACATAAACTGCAGGGGAAAGTGTACACAATGTTTCTTATTCTAAAAGTCACTCTAAAAGATAATTGGCTGCTTAAACAATACTAACAACGTACCACAGAGTCGATAACATGTGAAAATGCAATGTTTCTAACTCTCTGCGTGAAAGGATGTCGTACACTCTGAACACCAAAGCAGCCACAGAAGTCCCAGAATACAGATGTATGCTGCGTAAGCCAAGAACGGAGGTAAATGGGGACCCTAACAAGTATATCTCACAGGAAAGCAGAAAAAAGAAAGAATAAAGAATAGGTGAGACAAACTAACAGCAAGATGATAACCTTAAACCTAATCATACGAATAATCACATGAAATTTAAATAACAAAACGCCCTCGGTTAAAAGAATTTGTCAGATTATATAAAAAAGCAAAACCGGACCATGGGCCACCTACAATAAAGCCACTTTAAATATGAAGACATAACTAGGTTAAAAGTGGAAGAATGGAAAAATATGTATACCATGCTAACGCGGATGAAAAGAAAGCTGGGGGGCCTATGCGAACATCACACACAGCCGATTTTAGAAAGCAGAACGTTACCAAGGATAAAGAAGCTTCTCTTATAGTGCAAAGGGCTCAACCAGCCAAGAGGATGTAAGTCCAGACATGACCTCATAACAGAGTCTCACAATCAATGAAACTAAAACTGATAAACTGCCATGGAGAAATCGACAGTCAGATTTCAGTTCCTCTCTCATGGTGTTACTAGAACAAGTGGCCAGAAAATCAGCAAATCACTAGGAGATTGGAACAACACTGCCAACCAATATGACCTAAAGGTGTTTATAAAATGTTCGCCCGACAGCAGCAGAATGAGATGTTCTTCACGGCATGTGAACCACGTCAAGACAGACCACATTTTGGACCATAAAACAAGTCTCAATAAATTTAAAAGATTGAAGTCATGCAAAGCATGTACTGGTGACACAATGTAATTAAATTAGAAATCAGAAGCAAAGTTAGATACATCCGTGGAAACAGGGCGAGGAGGATGAGGGGTGGTTTGCCGGCGTGATGAAAATGTTTTGGAATTAGAGATGATGGTGGCACAATGTTGTGGATGTAAATACCACTGAATTGTATGTTTTTGAATGGTTAATTTCATGTGAATTTTACCTCAATTTAAAAAAGTAAAACAGGAAACTACGTATGTGGGAAATGCCAAAGATTTGAGAAGTAAATTGCAAACATCACAGTAACTGTGGGCCACAGAAGAAATCAAAAGGGAAAGTATTTTGAACTGAAGGGAATGAAAAGAAGAAACCACCTATCAAAATGTTTAAGATGTTGCCAACGCAATACTGAGATGGAAATTTACAGCACTGAACACCTACAGGAGAAATGGGACAGGATCCGAATCAGCCACCTCAGCCTGCACCTTACACAGGTACACCAAGAGCAGACTACATTCCCAAACAAGCCGCGGAATAAACATTAAAGATCGGAGTGGAATCCGTGAATAGAAAACAGGAAAACTATAAAGTGATGAGACCAAAGTTAGTTCTTTGAAAAGATCAATCAATTGAAAAATTTCTAGTCAGACGGATCAGAAAAATAAAAGTGACATAAATTACCAACATCAGAAATGAGAGATGCAGTTTCTCCGTGGATTCGACAGATATCGAGAGGATGAAGAAGGAATAGTATTTGCCAGCTTAGATGAAATGGAAAACTTCCTTGAAAGCATGAACTACCAGAGCCCACTCAAAGAGAAAGAGAGAGCCTGAGTGGCACTATATATACTTTAAAATTTTAATTTGTAATTAAAATATTCTCACAAAGAAAATGTCAAGCCCAGATGGTTTTACTAGTGAATTCTGCCAAATATCAAAGAAAAAAAATACCAGTTCTACACAAAGTGTTCTAGAAAATTGAAAAAGAGAGATTATATCCCAATTTTTCTGTAAGACAAATATTACCTTGATACCAAAACAAGGTAAAGACATTAACAAAACAAACAACAACAAAAAAAGCTACTGAGCAGCATTCATTGTGAACAAAATTCTAGCAAATTAAATCCAACAACATATAAAAAGGGTGAGACATCATAAGCAAGCTGAGGTTACCCCGGAATAGTTTAACATTCAAAAATTAATTTGTTTCACCATGTTTTCACAACTAACAAATGAAAGCCATGTGATCATCTTTGTGGATTCAGGAAAAGCATTTGACAAAATTCAACACCGTTCCCAATAAACACTCCTAGCAGCAATTAATATAGGAAATCTTCCTCAACCTGATAAAAGACTCTAACTTGTTCATAGATGTGTGTTACCAGGTTGGGGAAGTCACAATTATGGGGGAAAGACCGGTGCCCCTTTCAATAAGGATGAAGACAAGGACGTGCCCCCTTCTCACCTGTGTTCTGTGTTGACACGGGAGTTCCGGCCTATGCAAACATGAAGGTAAAAAGGAAATGAAAAGCATCCAGACTGGAAAGGAAGGAATGAAACTGTTTTTGTTCACAGGTAACATAATTGTCTGTATACACAGTCAGGTGCAATCTACCCAAAAATAAAGCTACTCAGTTTAGTAAGGTTGCGGGATAGAAGAACACTATGCAGGTGTCGGCTGTATATTTCTACATGCTAGAAACAATCAGATATTAACATTTTTAGAACAGGCTGGGCACAGTGGCTCACGCCTGTAATCCCAGCACTTTGGGAGGCCGAGGCAGGAGGATCATGAGGTCAGGAGTTCAAGACCAGCCTGGCCAACATGGTGAAACCCTATATCTAAAGATAGAAAAAATTAGCCAGGTGTGGTGCTGCACACCTGTAATCCCAGCTATTAGGGGGCTGAGGCAGGAGAATCGCTTGAAACTGGGAGGTAAAGGTTGCAGTGAACCAAGATCACGCCACTGCACTCCAGCCTGGGCAATGGGGAGAGACTCCATCTTAAAAAAAAAAAAAATTTATGAAAGCATTTAAAAATGAAATTTTTCCCAAAAAATGTGAAAGCTTATACTCTGAGAACTACACAACATGACAGAGAAAAATTTGAGAAGACCTAAGTAAATGGAGAAACACGTTTGTGGATCAGAGGACTTAATATTGTTCAGATGCTGACTCTCCCTAAATGATCTGTACTCCTGATCAAGGTCACTGCAGGCTTTTTTAGAGAAAATGACAAAATGATTTTAAAACTCATATGAGAATACAGAAGACCTAATGTGGCCAACACAACTTTGAAAAAGAAGGAAATTGGAGGTTTGCTGCCACCTGATTTAAGAGCTAGTACAGCGAGGTCCAGGAGGCAAGACCGCGTGGCTTTCGTGTAAAAGTAGACACGTGGTCAGTGGAACAAGGCGGAATCCAGGTGTGGACCCCACACGTCCAGGAAAGTGATTGTCAGCAAAGGCACAGAGGCAGCTCGCCAAAGAAAGGATTATGCAACTCCAAAACAATCCCCTTCACTTCTAGCTCACACTACACGTAAAAATCGCCTCCAAAGAGATTGCACAGCTAAACATAAGGGCTGAAACTATGAAGCTTCTAGAAGGACACATAGGGAAACACCTTTGTGACCTCAGGGTTGGCGAGGGTTTCTTATTTGTGCCACAAAGTGACAAACTGATAACTTGGACCTCCCTTCAGAAGACACCCTGAAGAGAATGACAAGACCAGCCACAGGCAGGAAGAAAACACACGTCCTCTGCCTGATAGAGACTTTATCTGGAATGGACGAAGAACTCTCCAAAGTTAATAACAACCCAATAAAACACGAGCAACATATCGTAACAGGCGCTTCCCCCACAGAAAATACGTGGATGGTAAACGAGCACACGAACAGACGAATATCATGAGTCAGCTAGGGACATGCGAAGTGCAACCATCTAGAAACCACCACACACCTGTTAAAACAGCTACAGTGTAAAAGAGCCACCACACCAGATGTGGGCAAGGGTGTGGACAGGCGGGCCCTGAGCGCCGTGGCTGCCGTGGGAGGTGGCCTGACGCAGCTGCTGCGGAAGCAAGCTCGGCTGTTGGATAAAAGCTACACATAGGCCTGCCCAGGACCCAGCCTCTGCACATGAATGTTGGCAGCAGTTTTACCTGTGGCAGCCCCCAAACTGGAGATGGAATAGATAAGCAGACAGGGGCACATCCACGGTGCGGTGACACCGGCCGTGGGGGAGGGGAGCATGAGTGCAGCCTCGAGGGGGAGCCTGCCCGTGACCCTGCCGAGGGAAGTGAACCAGACGGAAAGACCGACCGTTCTGGAAAATGCAAACTGATGTCGGGTGCCAGCAGGCAGCTGGGTGACTGGGAGGGAGCACGCAGGGGCGCGAGGACATTTGGGGGTGAGGGCTACTGCACTGTCTCCAGGGGGTGATGCTTTCACAGGTGTGTTTGTGATCAAATGTGCCAGGTTTTGCATCTGTGCCGTTTATTATGAGTTTATTATGTCAGCTGAGCCTTGTCCAAGCCGTGGATGTAGATTCAGTCTCACCAGAAGCGTCCATGCCTCAGATACATGCCCGACCGCCTCAGGTGCAGAATGTCAACACGCCCCTGATGAGGAAGCTGGCACGCCTCAAGCTCAGCCTCGTGGAGATGGCTCTGGGCATGCTCCAGTTCATCTGGGAGGAGGCCCACGGGCCGCAGAGTGAGCAGGGGTCCCTGGAGAAGCTGCTGGCCAAGTATCTGCAGAACACCGGCGACTACACTTCCGTTGGCCTGGTAATTGCGGGGTGCTCTTAGTCACAGGTTCTCTGTGGAGGGGGCCACAGTGCAGCTAAGGGGGCCCGTTCCAGCAGGACCCGCCTCCATCACGGCCCGCCTGGTGGTGCGGATCGGCTGTGGGAACCTGAGTGCCTTCCCTGCGGGGACCTCTAGCACTGGGGGCCTTGCAGAAGAAGGGCGTTGTCTCGCCATTGGAGGGGACTGAATTGGCTAATAAAATCAAGGTTCCATTGTGGGCTGTTTCCTGTATGACCCACAGCTGCCCTTCCCAACTCATGAATTTGCTTTGACTAATTTATTTGTATTAATAATGCGTAGGCGTATTACAGAGCACAATAGAAGTGGACTCCATTTTGGTATGAAAAAAAGAAAAGTTGAATATGTAGAATGTTTTGAAGGAAATGTACCTTCTTCCATTTTGCATTTTCTTAGATTTCATGAAATATGACTCAAATTAATTTACATCAGTATAAATGGACCGAAGACGGCCCTAAAACTGGTTTGTCAGCGAGCTCTGAATTAAGGTTACTGGTGATATGATTGTAACCTTAACCAAGGTCACTAATAAGTTATATGAGCAGCTGTCTATGGCCCCCAAACCAGAGCCCCCAAGTCCCTCCCTGAGCATGCAGCACCCGGTGGGGTGGGGGTATTTTTCAGAGCTCCCACTGTCCCCACCCACGGGGACACCAGAGGGAGGGCTTGCTGGGTCCCCTGGGCAGGGCGGGCGGTTGCCCTCCCAGTGGTGGCTGTAACGTGTCTGTCTTTTCAAAGCAATGGTTCACGCTGAAGCGCACCCTGGCACACAGGGCACTGGCGCAGCTGGGGAGCCTGCAGCCGCTGAGTGTGGGCTGCGTGGAGATCCGCGCCCGGCTCCTGGGACTGGCCGGGAGGGCCATTCACCTGCTGGCCGTGCAAGCCGACCCTGTGCGCCCCGCCTGCTACTGGGAGGAGGAACCCTCGGTAGGTGCTCTGCGCGCCCCGCCTGCCACTGGGAGGAGGAGCCCTCGGTAGGCGCGCCCCGCCTGCCACTGGGAGGAGGGACCCTCGGCAGGTGCTCTGCGCGCCCCGCCTGCCACTGGGAGGAGGGACCCTTCCTTGGTAGATACTCCTGCTTCTACCCCAAGTCTGGTTCACACCTGTCGCCCGTGCCGGAAATATACAAGCGAAGTGGTTACACTCCCCGAGTGTAGCAGACGAATTGTGTCCCCAGCTAACAAGGGCACAGCCCCAGGAAGAGAGGAAAGTGCAGGAAGCAGGCATCAGAGAAGAAATGGGGCCAGGGAAACACAGGACTTCCGGGACAGACGTGGGCGGGAACCACAGCGCGTCTGTGGGTCGGCAGGGAGGGCAGGCTGGCAGGTGGACCGGCCCTCTGCAGCATGGGGCCCGCCCCAGTCCAGCCCCAAACTGGCGAGTGTGAAGCAGGCCCCGGCTCCTGGTGTCGCCCACGGCAGCGGCTCTGACTGGCCCACACGGGGACCTGGGGAGGTCAGAAGCTGCAGGAGCAGCCTGCAGTGGGCCTGAGCATGGGGTGCCGTGGCTCCCAAGCCCGTGTACAGTGGGGAGGCCCTGGGCCACCTTGGCTCCCCTCTATCCCCACCCCCCACAGCCACGGAGGCTGCTGCCTCAGTGCACCCAGGTAGCTCTGAGAAGGGCAGTCAGGACCTTCTTCCCCCTCAGCCCAGGGCCCACCCTTCTCCAGAGCCCTGCGAGGCCGCCCAGGACGGCTGAGTCACCTGCTCCCTCAGGACCCTGTGACCGTCCCTACAAGCCACACAAGCCTCTGGGCACCTTTTGAAACACCTGTGCAGATGCCAGTTCCTCCCCTGGAAGGCACCTGTCCCAGCGGAGAAGCTGGGCTTGTCCCCACACACCAGCTGGTTGGGAAGACGCCCTCAGGGACCGGTGCAGCCACAGTGTGTGCCGGGCTCCACGCCCAGGTCGCCCCGGAAGTCCTGTGTTTCACCGACTCTCACGCCTGCCTGCTACGCTTTCCTCTCTTCCTGGGGCCGTGCCCTTCTTACCTGGGGACGACACGCTTGTCTGCTGCACTCAAGGGAGTTTAACACTTCTCTGTGCAGCCCTGGGTTGGCCCTGAGATGTCGGCTGTCCTGCGCCTTCAGGACCCAGCACAGGACTTGACGTGCCTCATGTGAATCGATAGAGTTGTGGCTCTCGGTGTGACCAGCCTCTGTCGACCTGCACAGGTGGCAGGTGGCTGTGGAGCAGAAGCCGGGCTCGGCAGGGCCTCCTCTGTGAATGGTGGTGAAGGTGCCCCAGCGAGGGGGGGCTGGGGCGGAGCAGGCGTCAGGCCCGGGCGGAGCGCAGAGGCCTCCAGGGCCCCCACCCCATGCAGGCCCGGCCCGGCCATACCTGCTTCTGCCCCCCCGGGTGCCGCCTTCCGCTGTCCTTAGATGTGATTTGTGGTGTTGTCCACCTTCTTGAAATCAAAGCTTAAATCGAGCTTTTTCTGGCCTTTTCTTGTATTCAAGGCTGTGCTTTTCCTCTAACCCCCATTTCAGTCTCCTAAGTTTTGATACCGGAGGATTGAACCCGTCTAGGGTCACTTGCCACGCTGTGTGAGGTGCTGCCCAAGCTCCCTGTCTGTCGTGTCACAACCCAGCAGATTGAGGAGCGTGGACACAGGCCGAGGCTGGAGCAGAAGTTTAATAAGTGAAAGAGGAAAGCGCTCTGCGGCGGAGAGGGGGCCGCCGTTTTTACAGCTGAATCCAAACGCTTTGATAGGAAACTCCCCTCATCCCTTTGGCTGTTCTTGTGACCTCCCTTGTCTGTGCAGCCTCGGGTGTGTCTTCAGGGAGCAGGAGGTGTAGCTTCTCGTCTGTGCAGCTGTGGGTGTGTTTTGGACGAGCCCCCGTCCGCCCCTCCCACAGCCCACACAGGTGCCCTCGGACCCCACCAAGAACAGACCTGGAGGGAGGAGACTTCCCAGGAGCAGGCTGGTGACCCGGAGAACGGAGGCCTCTCTGCCGGGCCTGCCTGCCCACCAGTGCAGCTGCCGCGTGGTCCTCCCCAGGCTGCTCTCTCTGTGCCCATGGCTGTGACTTTTCGGGCTGTCTCTCCGAGGACCAGCCTTGGCTGTAGGCCTACCTTTTCCTTTTCTTCTCCCCAGTATTTTCATTCTCTAAGTCCGTTTAAAGTGTTTTCTAAATTCCATTGCGATTGCTTCCTTGACTGACTTGATGATTGTATCTGGTTTAATTTCAAGGCGCCTGTGTTTCTCATGGGTGTATTTTCATTACTGACTTCGGTTTAATGTTGTGGTTGAAAATACACCCTGAGTGACCTCGGTCCTGGGGACTCCATGGTGGCTGCACGTGGCCCAGCGCCGGTCAGTTTTGGTAGCTGCTCCTCACACACCTGAACCTAGTGTGCCGTCATTAGAGGGACAAGGCTCTGTGCGCCCGGCGGCCTGCGCTGCGCCGCCTCCAGCGTGCTTGCTGGTTTCCACCTGCGCTCAGGTGGCCCACCTTACAACCGGGCTTGTCAATCACTCCTCCATTTCTATCAGTGTCCTTTATATTTTGATGCCTAATCATTGAGTGCACACAGATTTCACATTGCGACACCTGTGACCTGAACAACCGGGGGGCTCCCTCTCAACCCAGTTGTTTCAGGGGCTGCCTGGGCTTCCTACCCCCAGGTGGGGGCTTGTTTCCCAGCCATACCAGGGACCCCTGGGCCTGTGCAAGCCTCAGCTCCAAGAAAGGTGCTTCCAAAACGGGAACAAGAGCCCCTCGGAATGCTTGGTACTGCAGGCCCATGTGACTCAGGCCAGCTTCCCCGGGGGGGCTGTGTCCTCACCCTGGCTGCAGCGTCTCCTCACCCAGGCTCGGGGGCCAGGGCCACCCTGCGTCAGCTCAGGGCTGGAGGGTTTGGGACACGGAGAGGCCACGCTGCGCCTGAGGTGCCCCCCACCCGGGGACCCTGCCGAGGAGCCCAACTGCCCCAGCCTCCCTGGGTGGACCCTGCCCACGGCGACAAGCAGGAAGACAGATGCCCGCCAGCCTGTGGTGTGTGTTACAGGTGGGCGCCAAGCTAAGCAACCTCAGGTCTCTGGAGCTGGAAGCAGAGGAGGAGGATGCCGTGAAGTCCAGCAGGGACCTGCCAGCCTCCAGGGCGGCCCCGGAGGAGCACGGCAGGAGAGGCGGGGACCTGAAGGTGCGGCTACCCCTCCTACCCCTCTCGTGTCCTCTTCTGGAGCCCGGCCTGAGCCTGAGCCTTGTGCCCCGCAGAGGAGGATGGTTCTGGCCCAGCGGTACCTGGCGCAGGCGTCAGAGGTGCTGCTGCAGTGCCTACACGTGGCCCTTGGCAGTGGCCTCCTGGATGTGGCAGCAGCTGCCAGCCTGGAGATGGTGGAGTGCATCGGCGCACTGGACCCCGTGACTACCTGCCAGTTCCTGGCGCTGTCTCAGGTGTGGCTCTGGCCCGTGCACCTCCAGCCAGGCCCTTCAAGGAGGAGGGAGGACCCTGGCACAAGGGAGCTCTCTCTGCAGGGGTCCCGCCCCTGGGATTCAGCTGGGGTCCTCACCTTGGGAACTCCATTAGAGACGAGGGCCACAGGCCGGGGTTCTCAAACAGCGGGAGCCCGCCGGCCACGTAAACTTGTGGCTCAGAGAGAACCTGCATTCGTGAGCCCAACCCCAAACCCCACATCGGGCAGACACGGAGACCCAGCAGTCAGTCACAGGCCGGCAGGGCCCTGTCTGTGTGGTCCTATGGGGGAACAAGCGTGGCCCCACGAGACTCTGCAGGTGCCAGGAGGAGCCGGCGTCCTGGGGGAGCCGGGCAGGAGAGCCAGCCCACTCCTGCCCCAGGCTCAGCCACGGTGCCCCTCCGCGGGCTGCAGCCCTCCCCGGCCAAGCCTTGGGCCCTGGCACGCCTCCCCTGCTCTGTTTCAGAGCTGCTCAGCCTCAGAGACAATGCGGGACGTCCTGCTCGCAGCCACGGCCAACACCAGCAGCTCCCAGCTGGCAGCCCTCCTGCACCTACAGCACCAGCTCCGGCGCCAGGACAGGACCACCACCGGCCTGGGCGCCAGCGTGGAGCAGAGGCTGGCTGCTGTGTCCAAGGTAACTGGGCAGGGATGTGGCTGAACCTGCCCCCGACGCTGGGGCTCTGCGGACAGACATCACAGCCACACAGTCGCACGCCGGAGTGAGGACAGCCTTGCACTACCCCCGGCTCCTGCGCCGTCCCTCCCCCCGCCCCTCTTCCCACCCCAGTTGTGTTCGCCTGGGCCACCTGGCCTCTTGGAGCCTCGGTGTCCTCCTGGTCCTTGGCGGGCAGTAACAGCCCACCTGATGGGTGCTGTGAGGTTGGCGAGGCCACTGCAAACGCACAGCCCAGCCTGCTGCCGAGAGCTGGCCACCAGGCGGGCCGAAGTGCCCCAAGGGCCTCACGGGGATCGGAGCTGGGTCAGGTCCGAGGCTTCCGTCTTGAGAAACATTTGTAGGGCAGGATAGCTATGGCACCTTTTATTTGGATTATCAGGTGCGAATGGCAGTATTTAAAGAAAAAAGACTTAAGGACGTTTTTCAAATTGTGGGAAATGGACCAACGTGGCCTGGTGGCTCCCCCTCCCTCGGGGGCTACGTGGCTGCCTTCGTGGTCTTCTCGCTGGGGTGGACCTGACCAATTATCCCCTCGTCCAGGGCTGTTGGGCAGACAGTGCTTTGCTGGTGAGGGTGGGGTGGGGGCTGCATCCACCACTGGGTGGCAGGAGCACCCCCTGCCATTGTGACATCCGGAGACATCCGCAGACATCACCTGTGGGAAAACATGGTCCCAGCTGGGAACAGGTGACCCCACCCAGAGGTGGGAACCTGGAAAGCTGCCGTCCTTCTGAAGCTGAGAGGATGGAGGGTGGCAGGCAGGGAGTGGGCGGCGGAGGCGAGGGGACTGCAGGCCCAGCCCAGGCCCAAGGACAGGAGAAGGTGGCATGGCCCGGCCCTGCGCCTGGAGGAAGACGCTGGTGCCCATGGCCCGCCGGAGCTGGGTCCAGGAGGGTGTGCGCGGAAAGCAGAAATAAAAACGGGCTAAGCTGGACATCAGCGGAGGACCTGTCATCTAAGCCAGATGTAGGGGGGTGTGCATGTGGCCTAAGCTTGGCATTGGGGGCACCTGTGGTCTAAGCTGGGTGCAGAGGTGCATGCCTATGGTCTAAGCTGGGTGTGGTGGAGTACATGCCTGTAGTCCTAGCTGCTCAGGAGGCTGAGGCAGGAGGATCACTTGAGCCCAGGAGTTCAAGGCTGCAGTGAGCCCTGATGGTACCTGTGAGTATCCACTGGCCGCAGCCCGATCAACATAGTGAGACCCCATCTCAAAAAGAAAAATGGGCTACCTGGGCAGCACTTACTGGACAGGGTGAGATGTGAGCAGCCAGGCTGGCACCAGGGCACCTGCTGTGGGTGAGCTGGGCACGGGAGTCACAGCCCTCCCTCCCCTGTGGCTGTGGACCAGGCAAAGCTCACCCCATTGGAGCTTTGGGGACCAAGGACCCCAGCATGTGTGACTGATGGCTCCTATGTGTCATCCCCAGGCCATCAGTCACCACGATGGGGGTCACCACCCCTCAGGTCCCACCTCCCCCACCCATGCTGCTGCAGGAACCCTCATGGGAGTGGTACGCCAACTTGCAGCCAGGCACAGACTCACCGCAGTCAGGCTGGGGGACGGCGTCACAGTGGGCCCAGGGCATCAGGCCGATAAATGGCAACGCCTCATATTCTTACAGTCATGAGCGATGGAAGCAGTGAGAACTGGCTAAGCTAAAATTCCCGCACTGAAAACACCTACTGCAGTGAGCCGACCCTCACCCTCTGCCCGGGGGCCCCTGGATGATTCAGGGATCAGCTGGGACTGGTGTCAGCAGAGGCTCTGCAGGGAGGAGAAGGAGCAGCCTGGAGCCAGGAGGGGAGAGGCCACCTCACTGCAGCTGGGAGCAGCCCCACAGCTGTCCCACCCCAGGGACACCCACTGACAGCAGAGCCCCACGGCACCCTGGGGACACCCACTGAGAGCAGAGCCCCGAGGCACCCTGGGAACACCCACTGAGAACGAGCCCCACGGCACCCTGGGGACACCCACTGGGAGCAGAGCCCCGCGGCACCCTGGGGACGCCCACCAGGTCCTGGGCCTTAGGGATGCTCCCCTTGAAGCTTCAGGAAGGCAGTGAAGTCTGCTGTGGTCCTGTGGTGCCTGGAGAGGACGCAGCCCCCAGGACGCAGTGTCCCCTGCAGCGGCCCGTATGTGCTCTCCTAAATGAAGCGCTCTTGCAGGGGCTTCAGGGAAAGCGAACGTGGCCAAAGGTTGAATCTGTGACAGAGAAGCAGATTGAAAAGACGGAGCAGGGGCGCTGTGATTTGAAAGCTTGTCCCGCTCGAAACCCATGTTGAAACATGAGCCCCGTGTGGCAGTGTTGAGAGCTGGGGCCTTTAAGAGGTGACTGGGTCATGAGGGCTCACAAATGGGTCAACCCGTTTGTCGGCTAATGAGTTAATGGATTAATGGTTATCCTGGGAGTGGGGCTGGCGGCTTTGTGAGAAGAGGAGGAGACCTGGGCTGACAGCCACTCGCCGTGTGGTGTCCTGAGCCACTGGGGACCCTGCAGAGGCCCCCCCCAGCAACAAGGCCCTCACCAGATGCGGCCCTTTGACCGTGGACTTCTCAGCCTCCAGAACTGTAAGAAATAATTTCCTTTTCTTTAGAAATTACTTAGTTTCAGATATTCTGTTATGAACAACTAGAAATGGACTAAAAATTGGTATGGGGAGTGGGATTGTTGATACTAATGAATACCTGAAAATATGGAAGCAGCTTCGGAACTAATGAGCAGAGGCTGAAGCGTCTGGAGGAGGAGCGTTACAAACCCATGTCTAGACAGGCCATTAAGGGTGATCCTGGCGAGGGCCTGCCTGGAAGACAGGATAATTAGGGGATGTTTGGAACTCTTTTGTTTGAGATGGAGCCCGCTCTGTCACCAGGCTGGAATAGAATGGCGTGAGATCTCGGCTCACTGCAACCTCCGCCTCCCGGGTTCAAGTGATTCCCCTGCCTCAGCCTACTGCGTAGCTGAAACTACAGGCACACGCCACCACGCCTGGCTAATTTTTGGTATTTTAGTAGAGACGGGGTTTTACCATGTTGACCAGGGTGGTCTCAATCTCCTGACCTCATGATCCTCCCGCCTCAGCCTCCCAGAGTGCTGGGATTACAGGTATGAGCCACTGCGCCCGGCCAAGTTTGGAGCTCTTTAGAGATCTGGTAAGTAGTCGTGACCAGAATGCTGATGGAAGTATGGACAGGAAAGGCCATGCTGATGAGATTTCAGATGGAACTGAGGAGCAAGGTGTTAAAACCTAGAGTAAAGGTCAGCCTCATAGCCTTGTCATACATCAGCAAAGGCCTTGGCTGTTGTCGAAGGGCATCTGGCAGAATAAACAGTCAAGCAGCAAAGACTCAGGCTGCTGCGTGGCCACTTACAGCCACTACATAAGCTGTAAGAGGGAAAAATGACTCGGAGGTGGAAATTAGCATCAAAGGAAGAGCAGAAGGGTGTGGACGCTCTCGGCCTGGCCACGTGAAGAGTCAGAGGTGCATCCAGGAGGGTAGCAAGGCTCTAGACCATTCACCAAAAGTCAGCCTGGAGAGAAGGGCCAGGTGCTGTTCCTCAGAGACCTTCAATTCTGCCCTCCTGTTCCAGGCCTGGAGGCCACGGAGGGCAGAACCATTCCGGTGGATGAGCCAGAGGAGCCCTCTACAGGGTCCCCGCCCAGGGCCTGCTGGGGGCCATGCTCCCTAAATTCCAGTGCAGTTCTCCATGGCAGCCCAAGCAGTGGCTTAGGCAGCTCTGGTGCAGACAGACCCACAGCTGAAGAAGATGTGGCCACAGCCTTGGCCACGGCCATGTGGCACAGATTCCACAGGCTTGCAGAGAGCAAGATGGAGGCTTTGCAGCCTCCACCCAGATTTCAAAGGATGCCATTGAACCTAGGCAGAGACTCGTCCCACGGGTGGAGCCGCCTTAGTCAGCCCCACCAGAGCAAAGCCTGCTGCGGCCATGGGAACAAGACCCCCCAGGACCTGAGAGCTGTGGAGCCACTGGCAGCTTGCAGCACCCACCACGGGAAGGCTCAGGCAGACTCCAACCGTGAGAGCAGCCACATCGGCTGCACCCAGCAAAGCCATCGGGGCGGGCCAACCCCCGACCCGTGTCCAGAAGCAGCAGGTGCCGTCAGAAAAGGCCATTCCCTGGCTTTAGGGTCACGTCAGCCCTGCGGGGTCCGGCTTTCTTGGAGCCCACCACTGCTCTCTTTTTGCCTGTTCCTGTTTTCAAGTGGGAATGTCTCAGGCGGTCCCACTGCTGCATGTCGGAGGAAGAGAACTTGTTTGGATTCCACAGGCTCATAGATAAGACTCTGAACTTTGGACTTTTGAGTTGCCGCTGGAAGAAGTTAAGACTTTGGGGCTTGTAGGAATGTATTTGTAGAAGACAAAGACATGAATTTGGGGGGCAGAATGCTATGGTTTGAATGTTCCCTCCAAAACTCATGAATGGATTGATCCAATTCATGGTTTTAGATTCAGGGGTTATCCTGGGAGAGGGACTGGTCGCTTCATAGAAGAGATGCCCTGCGCTGCCCTGGACTCTGTGGAGTCCCCACCTGTGAAAAGGCCCTCAGCTGACGTGGCCAAATCTGACCAGTGCTGGTCCACATGCAGCCACACAGAGTCCCCCAGTACCGAGGCCACTTGGAGTGAGTTTTCCAGCCACGGTGATGTTTAACGGGAAATCGGTAACAAAAATGGACCAATGAGAAACATGGTTGCCTTGAAATTAAACAGTATACTCAACAATGATCAAATTAGTCAAAGAAGAAGTCACCGTGGAATTCAGAAAACACTTTAAACTGACTTAGAGAATGAAAATACTACAAGGAAAAACCTACGTGGCTTAGCTGAAACGATTACTGGAAAAATACAGCCATGAATACAAGAAGGAAGCCAGAAAAAAAAAAAAAAAAAAACCACCTTGATTTAAGCTTTGATTTCAAGAAGCTGGACAACAACAATAAATTACATCTAAGAAAAATGAGAACAAATCAACACATCAGAAACAGTGAAGCCAAAAGGAGCAGAGGAAATCCAAGTCACAAGTTGGTTCCAAAGAGAAGACAGTGAAATGGAGAAAGCCCTGCTCAGGAAAAAACAGAGAAAAGGCGAGTTCTCAGTATCCGTGAGAAAAAGACCCCTCGCTGAGATGGTGCAGGTGTTGAAAGGTCATAGAGAATGTTCTTTATAGCCTCAGTCCATACAGGGGACACGGAATCAGACCAACTCCTCAAAGTACACCGCTCACCAACACTGACAGAAGCGTAGAAAATCTTTTCTTTAAAATGTTGCTACGAGGGAGACCAGAGCCCACTGGCTTCACCAGTAAATTCTTCCAAAAACGGAAAGAAGAAAAGCCACTTTCCAAACTCATAGCAAGTAGAAATAAAGCACAAACTCCCTCTTTTACTGAGAGGCCCGATGAACCTCGACGCTGGAGACTTAGCAGGGGCATTGCAAGAAAGGAAAAGCTCTCCCGTCAATATTACACAAGAATCCTAACAAAATGTAGCAGATAAGGTCCAGCAGTTACAAAGGGATGCCACACCACGGTCAAGGGGTTGTGTTCCATGTGGTTTAATATTCAAAGAGCACTCAACATCAGTGACCATGTTAACAGAGGGACAAGGAGACAAATCCTAAGATCATACTGGCAGGTGCGAAAAAAGGTACCTTTCAGAATCCAGGTGCAAACAAAGGTACCTTTCAGAATCCAGCATCCACTCATGATTCTTAAACAAGATACAAGCAAATGTTCTTAATCCAGTAAAGAATATCTATGCCGCCCTAGCAAGCATCATGTTTAATGTACGGTATTGAAAATGTTTCACCAAGAGTGGAAATGCACACCCTATCAGCTCTTGTATTGAATATGGCACAGTAAGAGTCAGAAAAGAAATACAATGTAGAAAGACCCAAGAGGAAATACAGGACTGAGACTGAAGAACTTGAGGGCTGTTCCTCGTTCGTGGCGGAGAGGCTCTGCCTGCATCATGTGAAGCCAGCAGTCTCTCTGTGGCCGAGGGTTCTCACATGCTCTTCCTCCTTCCGGAGAGATCTCAGCTCGGTTCCCCGAGCCATTAGCAATGCTGTTTTCCGCAGAGGTGGCCTGGCACGTGACCCAGAGCTGTGTCCCTTGTGGGGAGCCTGGGGCTGTGCCACTGCCTTGTGGCCACGGGAGACCCAGGGTGGGAGCCGTGCGAGGGGAAAATGGCACACCAGACTCCACTGAAATGCAGAAGTCCTGTTCGTCAAGGACGCCCTGCCTTGCGAGAGTCGAGGGGCAGCCACAGAGGAGGAGAAGGTACTGACACTAGGCTGTCTGACACACGCATGGATGGAGGGCATGGGTCCCTTTTCAGTAAGAAAAGGAGACACTGATGGAAGATGGCACCAGGGTAGACTTTCACAGACTCGGAGATTCGAGTGCCCAGGAAACAATTTGAGTGGCGCTCAGGTGCCCTGGTCAGCAGGGAAGTGCAAAGCTGAAGGCTGACGCAGCTAACCGGTCACCAACTAGAGTGGTCCAGAAGGAAAAGGAGAACGCGGCCAGTGGGGTGGACAGGGATGGGCAGCTGGGGCTCCCTGGGCCTCGTGCCCACCCCTTGGCACAGCAGCTGCTTGGCAGAGTTCTGGCAGAATCGCTGTAGCTGACGCCGCACCTGGCTCCATGCCTGGGAGAAAGGCATCTGTGCACACACGCGTCTGTGTGTTCGTGCTTGTCTGCGTGTGTGTGCATCTGTGCACGTGTGTCTGTGTGTCCGTGCTTGTCTGCGTGTGTGTGCATCTGTGCA